ATATATAGAGTGTTCTATTTGAAAAATCAAAGTTGCTACTGCTTTCTAATAGAAGCGGCAACACCGCATTGTCGAAAATATTTTATTTGGCTAGAGAATGTCCGAATATGCCCTCCATTAAATTTTCAAAGTGATCCGTTGTCTGGTTCACCAGAAACGTCTAATGTGCTATCCACCGTGAATCAGCTTGTATATACAAGAAGTGGCGCCACTATTCACCCGAGCAACTGGTGCAAAACAGGACCATCAGCCCAGTCGCACCCGACAGAAAGAACACTATTCCCCCTCTGGTGCCAGCAGTACACGTAGAACACGTAGGGCGCTCCATAGAATCAGACCCCTGAAGCCTCAAAAACTAGCTTGTTTGGATGTAGAAATTCTCTGTATTCTAACAGAACAGGCTGACATCTGGCAAATTAACACCACTTCTACAGCGCCGTCCAATCTCTTAACGAATCACAAGGACGAAATATTGTGGTCCGAAAGATTCAACAGCGGGTACACAAGATGGATGCTAAGTCAAGTTGGCGAGACAACACATGTCTCGTATCCAATGTGTGATGGATTACAGGGCGGCAAACAGGCCTTTAACGCCCGCAGTGTGGCGCCGCCAAACTACGACGTATCCATCACACTTTTAGTCAAGGTGTGCTACTGATCATCAAAGAGCACTGCCTCGATAGACTGAGAAACATCGCGGAAAAACTCAAGTTCTGCGAGGAACCTTCTCGCTTATCTGAACTGCATCCGCGTGTTGTGGACAATCCTGCCTACCGCTGATCAGGAAGGACATTCATAAACACCCGCGGCCACTCAGCTTAAACACTCTAGTCTTAGCGCAGTTCGAAGCTTTCAGCAGAGAGCTTCGAAAGACTGAGCTCAATGATTTGCAGACCCCCGGATGATGTTCAAAGAGCCCTTGTCCGTCCCAAGAACATTGCTGCTCCGGACAGAACCTATCACTTATTGGTGGAGAAAAACTATCAAGCACCCACCCACCGCCAGAGTTTTCAGCTGTGGCACCCCCGGAAACCGGAGACATTAGGCATTTGCTTCATATGGATGATTTTGAACTTCTTGCCTCTGCTGGAGGAAACGATCTTCATCAGTCCTTGAAAGTTGCGTGTACTCTTCCGGTATGAAATTCGTGATAGACAAATGTGCAACAGTTCATCTCAGAAGATGTACAACCTGTAGGTGGAAGCATTTTGTACCATCTGGATATTAGAGTTACGGAAACTTACCTTGGGTTGAAATACAGCCATTCACAAGAGGTGAAGCAGTGAAGACATCTCTCCACGACAAGTATATCAAAAACCCCGACTCTGGTCTCCGGAACTGTCAGGAAATAACGAAGTCGCTGTTACGAATATGCTTGGCCTTTCAATCTTACTCTGCTCGGTTGAAGTAATGAAATAGATCCAATAGGAGCTGTATCAATTTGTTGAAGTATAAGCCCGAAAAATGATGCACCTCCATAAGAGTTTGCATCCCAAATCGTCCGTTCCACAGTTGTACTTTCCCCGATAACAGGCAGGCCATGAGCTTCTGGGAGTGTCTAAATGACAAAGTAGTACTAGATGGAGACTTTAAAGTCATCAGGAGTTTGGATCGCCTCCTCCGTATGGTTTCCGACCAGGAGAGAGTGGCTAATGAATATTGACTCCATTGTGGAGAACAAAAAGCACTGAATTTTTCGGAATTATTCGTTCCACACCTTCAGGCTCATGTGAGCCAATGAGCCTGATGTAGTTCTTCCTGACCATCAGACCAAGACGATATTTGTAGTGGAGTTTTCAGCTCCTGTTGAGACGAATATCATCCGAAACGGGGAGGAGAAATGGATGAATTATTGGGATTTTCACGTAGAAGTTAGTGCAATTAATCAATATTGATAGTTTATTGTTGCATTCTTTCACTTGAACCAATAACCTTACATTTGTGTCAAAGCTTTTTTCGGTTTTTCGGCCGTGGTCATGCCGTCATGCCGAAACGTAATTCTATACAATTGTTTATAAATTCAACGGTTGTATGAAGCCTCAAATTATTTGCAAACATTAATCAATTGCAATTCAATTCAGCTGTTTTGTCTTTTGAATTATTCCATTGTAATTTTTTGCCCCCAAAATTCCGTTGACTTAAGGAGTTTATGCAGATCTGTTAGCCTAATATTCCATTTTCCAACCGTTGTAAATTTTGAAAGTGAACGCTTCATTGAAGATTTGTGAATATGACGATGAATATTTTGATCGAATGATTTTCATTCAACAATGCATATTTTCCAAATATTAACCGCCCTTTGGTGTATTCACGTAGTAACATCCAAATGAAATGTCGCTATTTTCATCAAACCGTATATCAAATAAATTCACACCTCGTGTTTCAATATATCCTAATGAAAAACTGAAATGATGTTCAACAACAAAATGGGTTTGCAATCTAAATGGAAATCAGTTATAAAAAATACAATTACCTAATAATAAATGCGAATGGAAGGTCCATCAATGCAGTCGTTACAAAAAAAGCAAAACGTTTTCATTTTACCACCGAAATGAAATGTTTTCGGCCATCCTTTTCATCTGAAATGAGCAGCGAACTGTGATCTCCAATCAAAATTCGTTTCGTGCATGGACATACGCATGACGGAGCTTATTTTTTGATCATCGGGTCGCTAATGAAATTAAAATGAAAATAATGAATTGTTAATGAAACAAAATTGCTAAAAATTTATCACTGGTGTTTGCTCTGATCATTCCATGTCTGCAGTCGAATTAGTTTTGCGCGGGAACACCGATTATTGACTATTTGTAGGTATTAAGAGGCTTACAAATCCGCAACACGTGTTTCGCCATACAAACGCTACCTCAGGCGTGTTCATACTGACAAAACTCTATTTCCTCAATGAATTACGCCTAAAAAATTTTCCAATTAGACTTGTAGTATCGTTTGCAACGGCTCCTTTCGTAAACATCTCAGAAATGCTCGTACAATTCATTAAAACTCACACTGAATCATACATAACTCTTATACTGATAACACAAACCGTTTGATTTACAAAAAATATTTCTCACCG